TTGTGCCTATAATAATAGGTTTGCATGTCTATGAAGTTAGACTGTAGATAACGTAAAAAAAAAGTGTACCTATGTGGGGCAAAACAAAAAGTGCCACTGACAATAGTAATATTTTATTACAGGTATTTATACATTACCAACCATTTACATAGTGCTTTACATTCATATAAGATCCTGCCCTCAAGAAGTTTATCCAAGCTCTCTATATCACATGCATACACACACACACACACACACCTTGGCCAAGAGGATTCTGTCAAAAGGAAAAATATGGCCTTGGAAGAAAATGAAGTTGTCGTGGCTAACGTAGGGGGAAACCTGGAGGAGACATCTATGCAATTACCATCGTCAACTCTGTTGCAGGCAAAAAATGATGGAGGCCCAAAAGGCGCAGAAGGGGGAGGCACAATAGATATAGGACCTCGAGGGGTAGTGGACCAGGTTGTGACCATCAGCCACATTTGCCCCAGGAATGAGAATGCAGATATCACCACAGGAAGTAAGTACCCACACGATATTTACACCTTTCCTGAAAAAAAATACGGAATAGATCAGCATATGATTCCCCCAGAGAACAGGAGACCCTGAGGGTAGTGAACTTATCTGGTATGGAGCTCTCTGAAGCCCAGCTTACCCTTCTTTGTAAGGGTCCCAAGTTCTGTCCCATCTTGCGGGATGGGACTGACGGTGGGATTGTTGGTCGTGATGGAGAAGTCAGAGGGGGGGCGCGGGGCTGGGAGGAAAACTCACTCCTCACTCCCCCTCACTTCCCCCTCACTCCCCCTCTCTGTTGGGGTCCCTCAAGGTTCTGTCCTCGGGCCCCTTCTCTTCTCCATCTACACCTCCTCCCTTGGCCAACTGATACACTCTCACGGCTTCAACTACCATCTCTATGCCGATGACACGCAAATCTATCTATCTACCCCTCGCCTCACCCCTTCAGTCTCTCCGCCCGAATCACTAGCCTACTGAACGACATATCGGATTGCATGTCACTTCACTTCCTCAAATTAAACCTTTCCAAAACTGAGCTCCTAGTTTTCGCCCCAGCCCGTGCCCCCCCCCCCCCCCCCCCCCCCCCCCCCCCGACTTCTCCATCACGACCAACAATGCCACCATCAGTCCCACCCCACAAGCCAGAGTACTAGGTGTCATCCTAGACTCCAATCTATCTTTCCAGCCCCAGGTCCAATCGTTGGCAAACTCATGTAGACTCCACCTCCGCAACATCTCCAAAATAAGTCCGTTTCTAACCCTGGAAACTACCAAGCAACTCATTCACTCCCTTATCATATCACGACTTGACTACTGCAACTCCCTCCTCACCGGCTTACCTCACCACAGGCTATCCCCGCTCCAGTCTATCCTGAATAGTGGGGCCAGACTCATCCACCTTACTAACCGCTCGGTATCCGCCACCCCCCTCTGCCAATCCCTCCACTGGCTTCCGATTGCCCAACGGATAAAATTCAAAATGATAACATTGACGTACAAAGCTGTTCATAACACTGCCCCAAACTACATCACCGACCTGATATCCAAATACCACCCAAAACATACTCTCCGCTCCTCACAAGACCTCCTATTCTCTAGTTCCCTGGTCTCCTCCTCCCATGCCCATCTCCAGGACTTCTCCAGGGCTTCCCTCATCCTCTGGAACTCCCTACCCCAATCCATCAGACTATCACCTACTCTCCTCTCCTTTAGGCACACCCTGAAAAACCCATCTCTTAGGGGAAGCCTACCCCACCCTCAGCTAATTGCCGATCTCCTCCACTATTCCTACCACTCCATCCCCCACAGCTATTTCCTCCTGTACCACTATCCCTTCCCTCTTAGATTGTAAGCTCCAAGGAGCAGGGCCCTTGAACCCCTTGTGTATTGAATTGTATTGTTATTGTACTGTCTCGTGTACTGTCTCCCATTGTAATGTACAGCGCTGAGCAAACTGTTGGCTCTATATAAATACTGTACAATAATAATAATATATAGTAATAATAATAATGTGCACCCCTGTGCTTTTAAAGGGACAGTGCTTCAGATAATGTTCTTTCTTTGACTGAGAAGTCACTGCATACTTCAATTGCTTAAAAGTTATACTATTTGCACCATTCAAAGGGACAATTCTTCAGATAATGACAGTTCTTGAATTAAGTAGTCATAGCCTATTTTGATTGCTTATATGTGTCACCATGTGCACCCTTGTGTATCAAAGAGACTGTGCTTCTCTTTAACTAATGTCACCTCTTCAATTGAGAAGTTATTGCTTACTCTGATTGTTCACTGGCCACACCAATTACCTTCAGTTTGAAGAAAATCCCGTTGCTAGTTCATCTATGGCCGCTACATGTTAAACCCCTCAAAGAAGTGCACTCTCCATCTAAACCACCTTTGGAGCATACGTACTCTCAGGAACATCCATCAATACACCATCGTCTTTCAGCTTAGTTCTTGACCTGATCATGTATGAGGGAGGTTACAGTGGCCTGACAGGATCTCCCCTGGATGGTGCCCTACAGCTCGACACCTGAGGGGGTCACAGGGTTATCATACCATATTTACATCCTCCTATGGACTACATGTGGTCGTACGTATGGAACCAGTTGCTGTTGTGATCTCTATGCCTCGGTGTTTGGTGTATGAGGGAAGTTTTGTTATCTTTATTTATTTGGGACCTGTGGAGTGTGGTGCGATTTTTTTTGTGTTTTGTTTTATACTTTTAATTTTGTCTGTGTTAATAAAGAAGTTTGTGTGCCCCATTGATTGTCTTCTCCTTTGTTTGAATTATTTCTTTTGAGTATTTACAAATTCCCCATTCTGGTTGAGTCCATAACTAGTCTTTGTTTTCTTAGTTTCTCACAGTTTACAGGTTACATTAAAAGGTGGAAAAAGTTCTGAAATGATTTATCTTTGTCTCATTATTTTACATAACAGAAACCTGACATTTTAATCACCTTTACCTGGCACACAGGACAATGCCAAGAATAACACAAAAGTTGAAAGATCGGACCAAGTGTGGTACAATAAACATCTGTCTAAAGGGTATATTAGATAAGACAAGTGATTAGCATTCTATAAATTTCACCTTTAGCTTTGTTTTTCAAAAGTTAATGCATGCAAAACATCCCACATGGAAGAAAAATATTCTTCCCACATATATTGACATATATTTGAAATACTACAATTTTGGCCGTATTCAATATATTAAAAAAAAAAAACCATTATATATATATATATATATATATATATATACACACATGCATACACACACATACACATATATACTGTATGCTGAAATGCATTTTTTTATATATTACAAAATATATGAAAATATTTTGAAAAATACATTTTGAAATATACTGTATGTCTTTAAAAATACATTTAATCTTACATTTTTGGAATGCATTTACAAATATATGTAAAAATATATATGTTTATAAAAAAATATTTTTCATATATACTGTAATATATAAAAAACACATTTCAACATACATATATATATATATATATATATATATATATACAGAATATGGCCAAATATGTAGTATATGTCATTATATTTGGGAAGAATATTTTTAAAATATATCTAAAATATATTTTTCTTCCATGTGGGATCTAACATTTTCATATATAAAAATGGTTAGCTACATTGTTTTGAAAGCTCTTTTGTCCTTGTTATTGATTCATACAGTCACAGTGGTACATAGTCCATAGATGGATTGTTCATTGTCCAAAATTTGCATCCCCACCTTGTGTGATCAAATTGTCATAACAAATCACCAAAGCAACAATCTTGAGTTCCTAACGCCATCATTTCTCCTTCCTGAGCATGGATTTATTTCATCATATTTTTCTCCAGAATGCTATAAAATATCTGTGTTGTTTATTGCCGCCATTCTATTTTATCAGGGGGTGCTTGAAACTGTAAAGCTCCATGCACTCTGGCTTAAGGACGATTAGAGGCACATTTGAAGCTGAACATTTCAAGGCAGGAAAAAAAGCCCTTCTTGTTTGCGTTTTTGATTGGAGCTTTCTGGCAGAAAAAAACCCCCACTAGGCTCCCTAAACTGTACAAAAACAATCTACCGGTATATCAGCATTTTTTTCTGCCAAGGGAACTGGTGTTTTTTTAAGCCCACTGTTCATGAAGCCTTACATCTCTTAAAATGCACATACTGTATGACCAGAATGTTTCCTTTCTCTTATGAACAAAGCCTCATTCCTTTTTTTTCCCAATTGTTCTTTGTGCAGTGAGAGTCATCTGTGATATATTTATAAAATTCCTGCTAAGCAATAGGATGGTGATTGTTCCAGAGTTAGATTTAAAATATCTCCTCCCGCAGGTGAAATGTCCCATGCTGCCACTTTCACTTACCAATGCCCTGTATGCCAGTGGGACTTTTTAACCACTTGCCTACCGGGCACTTATACCACCTTCCTTACCAGGCCAATTTTCAGCTTTCAGCGCTGTCGCACTTTGAATGGCAATTGCGCGGTCATGCAACATCGTACCCATATGAAATTTTTTACCATTATTTTCTCACAAATAGAGCTTTCTTTTGATGGTATTTACTTGCCACTGGGTGTTTTACTTTTTGCGCTATAAACAAAAAAAGAGCAAAAAAATATGAAAAAAAAAAAAAAAGTTTCTTTGTTTCTATTATTAAATTTTGCAAACAGGTAATTTTTGTCCTTCACTGATGTGCGTTGATGAGGCTGCACTGATGGGCACTGATAGACGGCACTGATGGGCACTGATAGGCAGCAGTGATGGGCACTGATAGGCAGCACTAATGAGGTGGCACGGATAGGCGGCACTGATAGGTGACACTGATGATGGGTACTGATAGCACTGATAGGTGGCACTGACTGGCGGCACTGCTGGGCACTGAATGGCGGCACTACTGGACATTGACTGGCGCAACTGCTGGGCATTAACTGGCGCAACTGCTGGGCACTGACTGGCAGCACTGACTGGTGGCACTGCTGGGCTGCACTGCTGGGCACTGGTGGGTGGCACTGATGGGCACAGGTGGGTGGCACTGATGGGTGGCACTGCTGGTGGGTGACACAGGTGGGTGGCACTGCTGGGCACAGGTGGGTGGCACTGCTGGGTGGCACCGCTAGGCACAGGTGGGTGGCACTGGTGAGCACAGGTGGGTGGCACTGCTGGGCACAGGTGAGTGGCACTGGTGAGCACAGGTGGGTGGCACTGCTGGGCACAGGTGGATGGCACTGCTGGGCACAGGTGGACGGCACTGGTGGGTGGCACTGCTGGGCATCGATCATCAGGGCACTGATCATCAGTGCCCTGATGATCAGTGCCGTGATCCCTGCTCTGACAATTGCTGGTTCTCGGCAGTACTTTCCCCACGTTTTGACAGAGTGAGGAAAGTGCAGCCGAGAACCGGCAATTGCATTTCCCTGTGATCAGCGTGTCATTGGACATGGCTGATCACGTGGTAAAAGGCCTGTGATTGGTCTTTCACCACATCGCATGATCAGCTGTGTCCGTAGGACACAGCGATCACGTAGATCGCCGGGTGTGCGCTCACGGGGGCGCACAGGAGAGCGTGTTCTGGGAGGACATCATATGATGCTCTCCCAGAACTGGCTGGCCGCAGTGCAGCCGTCATTCAGCTATCTGCGGTCGGCAACTAGTTAATTTGAATAGGATGCAGGAAATTAAGACATTTCCAGAGTCTGGAATTACATCATTTTTCTCTATACCAATAGCTGGCTATTTTGTGGGAGCCTTCAACTGAACCTAATCTGGCAGCTCTCACAAAAGACCCATGGTACACTATCTGAAAGCACATGGCTGCTCAGAGAGTAGGAAGTAAACAGAGAAACCCAAGCATTGGGTCATAAAGAGCGGAATGAAGGGACATGAGCTTGTTAAAACTGTTGTCTCTGCACCATGGTGTAAATGAGGCCTTAATATTAAAGATACATATCTCTAGCAAGTCCTTTCTTGTACTGTCTACTCAGGTTGTTTGGAATTTTGCACACTACCTTGAGGTAGGTGTAAGTGGTTTCACAGCACAGAAGCTAGGGACAGTACTGGTACATGACAATGCGCCAAGGTAACAAAAGCAATGGAAATGTTCAGTCCAGATGCTTCTCCTCCATGACCTTCTCAAAACTGCACTCATTGTCACTTGTGAAACGTCAATGGCTGACATTTAGGAAAACACCATATGGCGGGGAGGAATAAAGCCTCAGTCTGGATGAGTTCCTGGATGGATGAGATGGTTTTCTCCATAACAGCATTGTTGCTTTCAAAAAATGGAAAGAACATGATCTTTGCCGGGATCACTCACAGACAGTATAGCTCACATACATTTTTTGCAAGGTGTTTTCATTGAAACTATTTGCATAATGATCAAAAATAAAACATTGCAGGACAGAAAAAAAGATAGGGATTGATTTACTAAAACTGGAGAGTGAAAAATCTGGTGCAACTGTGCGTGGTAGCCTATCAACTTCTAACTACAGCTTGTTCATTTAATCTTTACCAATAAAACCTGAAAGCTGATTTGTTTCTGCACCATATTTTTCACTCTCCAGTTTTAGTAAATCAGCCCCAAAGTGTATTTCACATTTTTTTCTTGTTTAATCTTTTTATTAGAAGGTTTAAGAAAATGCAAAGGTTGACGATTCAGGAATTGTAAGGATTGCACATAAACAATACACAGAACCAAAAAGTGGTACATGAAATTTGACAATGGTAACTGTAGTATCAGAGTGCAACCATTGTAGAAAAAAAGAAACATGCAAGAAGGAAAGGGGCTTGGTATAGGTGAGTGGCAGGGGGAAAGGAAGGGGAGATTTTGGGCAGGTAAAAGGTGGGAGCTGGGTTTGGGATGGGGAAGGGAGGGTTTGGTTAGGGAGGATTTGCTGTGGTTGTGCGTTATATAGGTTGTAAACTGCATGCACCAACAGGAGGCAACAGTAAAAGTTGGTTGGCAGAAAATGAGTTCCCAAAACCTTCTTGCAGCTTAGCCATTAGTTTTTCATTGAATAACGTCTAGTGCAACCAAGATTTGACCTCTGTCACATGTAGGTTCTCTTAGAGCCATGCCGTTGCTATTGTCTGTTTTGTGGCTGTTAGAACACGTGTAAGGAATGTAAACTGGTGCTTTGAGATATTGGGCTGTTTCCAGTTTAGCAGCACTTCATATAGATTAATGGGAAGCGATAGCTTAATAAAAAAAAAGTATTACATCCCACATCATAAGTTAACTGGGTGGTGTTCTGTATATTATTCACGAATGTGGAGTTTATCTAGTTAGTGGCAAAGATAGAAGATAATATGAGGGCATGGACTGGGAGAGTTGTAAAGATCCTACGAGGGGGCATATTTTAGAGTTGGGGATGAAAAAGTCACTTCTGGTTCAGTAAGTATCTCAGACCATGAAAACATTACAATCCTCCAATACTGAGCTTACTGATCAAGGCATCCAGGTGCAGTTTCTCCTGGATGACCTAGAGAACTGCAGTCGCAGAAAGAATATATGGTTGAGAGGAGTCCAAGACTCTGTCCTGTAGAGTTACACTCAATGGTGACCACCATCTTTAACTGTTACCTAGATCGCCTGCCTAACATGGACATAGCTATTAACCTGGTTCATAGAACCCTGGGACGGCAGATTTAAACCTATTCTAGATGGCCTTGGGGAGAAGGGACTTACATACATGTGGGGACACCCATTTCAACTCATTGTCCAAAAGGACCTGAATACCTTTCCCCTACGCCACCCATTGGAACTACTGGATCTGTTCACCTTTTGCAGAAATGGACCCGATCTCTGTACCCAACTGGCTCTTGGTATCCATACCCCATAATCTGCAATTCCGGACACCCCCCTCGCAGTCGACAAAGAAGCCGGTCCAACCATTGGCCTCGAAGAAGTCCCTCTCGGGCCCACCCAACACCAGCCCCTTGAGGTCGTGTGTTGGCTACGTACTATGTAAGACCGCTTATTGTTCAGCAGTTTCATAACATGTTTTGAGCCAGAGGGCTTTCCAGTCCCCTTCAGTGAATATGTTAGTCCTACAGGAGAGTCCTTAGGGAAAATATGGATTTGCCTGTTTTGACCCCCAAACACATTCTGCTGTGAGCTGTGGCAGGTCTTTCTCTTTACATATTGTAGTTACTGAAGTAGATAGTTCTCCTCTTAAATGCTTCTATTATCACATGCATTTTATGAAATGTTGATATATTATTTTTTTTCCTTCTAGGCAGTTTATTGATCCCCCAGGAGAGTCATGGGATGTCCAGACACAAACTTTGCCAGGAGGATGGAGTTCTGCCTTGAAGAGACCACCCTGACCTACTTAGAGGTGGGAGTTTTTTTTCTTTCTATCACCACCTGGCCACCCTCTGTCTCCCCGATGGGCTATTATAGACATGACCAATCCTGCACCCTGCTGGACAGACTCGGGACAGTTACGGGGGCCCCAGGGGCTTTCTGGTGCTGCACCGTGTCGACCTGACCCCAATCTAGTGCATCAGACGGCTGCTGCACTTAGCCTTTGTATTTCTCTGGATGCATATATGTATATAGGTATATAGGTACAAGTACATAGAAATGTGCTATGTTTTACTGAGTATATCAAAGGTCTATTTGAATTTACTGCATTGTTCTTTAATAGTTATACCGGTATAATATAAAAGTACATGTAACCAAAACAATAATGGAAATACGTGGAATAAATGAAAAGTCCAATTCACAAGTGAAAGAGATATAACGTGAAATAAGCCCCTCTTTACTGGGACATCAATGTCACGAATGCTTCTAATCTGGTCAAGAAGATGAAGAAAATCCACCATCACCAGCACACAAAAAATTCTGCCTCTTACTAAATCAAATTGATCCCCAGTTAAGGATGGGTCAAAATGCACAATGCAAATTCCAGATGCATGCCATGGACCTGGACACTTTATGATATCAAAAGGACCGAACTGGCCCTCAATGGTAGATGGATATAAACACCCGTTGGATAATTCCAAAAACTAGCTGTAATCTGGACAATTGTAGAGCTCCAAACTATTACTCCAAAAATTTAACAGAGCAAATAAACCTGCAGAAAAGATTTATCCTCATAGAGGACAAACCTCCACCCAGTTCTTCAGCCGCTTTTTTAGAGAAATAAGAAAGAAACTAGTTTCACAGAACCCCAGAAGGAATGCAATCTTTTTCTTGCGCAGAAGTCCTCCATTTGTAGTAAATGTCAAGAATCCTCCTACAAAATTACTACACGATGATACAGAGCCTCATCAGTCTTAGCTGAACTATTTCTCAACCCATCTAACCATTGCTGGAGCTGCAAACAACATCTGGACACTATTGTTTATATTTCCTGGGAATTCCTCAAACTTCAGACTCTCTGGCAACCAGTCCTTCAACTTATTCACAAACTTACAGATATATCCCTGCATAACAACCCATCTGCATTCTTTACCCCCATGTTAAAAAAGAAATCTCTTCTCAAAAAATGTTTAAAACGCAGCGCTCGCTTGTATACCGAGCCAATGGAAGCAACAGACTGCCACCACTGTGGCCCAATGTCTCGCAAGAGTGAATGACATTGAACAGATGGAGGACCTGACATCTACTATTTGGGACAAATCGGAAGAACATAAGACCAGGTGGTTTTATTGGGACCTTTTCCGCTTCTGCAATACACATAACCTTTGCTCTGTGCTTTAGAACCTGAGATTCCATCCGCAGGCCAGGTACTGCTGTTCCCTACTCCCCGGGTGGCACTTACCCTCCCCTTAGACCTCCCCCCTCCTACCTACCCCCCACCCCCTTTTTTTTTCTTTCCCTGTTCTCTTTTCTCTGTCTCTTCACTCTTCTGTAATAATATACTAAAAACTGGTATGGTCTGACCCTAGTTGAATGTCCCGCATCAGACTTCTCACATTTATCAGAAGCTTGTTTTGGAAATTTGAAGGACTATTTCCATTGCAGGGGGAGCTCTTACACAACCTGCTCGGAGAGATCCCCTTAATCATTGTACACTCACACTCACTACTGCAACTGGGCTCTATGTCCACATATATTTTCATTTTATGATAACTGCCCCGAACATATTTTCACCAGCATGTATGTACATATGGATGATTCCAATGTTACACTGTGTGGCTTATCTGTTCTGTGAAGCAACCATGTCATTCTAAATGCTGCATACCAATAAAAAAATAAAAAAAAAAGTTTAAAGGATAAGTACAGTCGCTCCCTGGTCCACCCCAAAACCCCTGTGGCAGCAGGTTAGGGGTATTCTAACCTTACCTGCTGTCACTGTTTGAAAAGAGCACAGCCATTAGAGGCCCTGCCCACTTGGACACATTATTCATTCACAAGGTTCTGTGAATGAATGAACTACAAGTACCAACACACTTTGCAGCT